TTCATTTTCAGATTCTGGATCAATTCTGCAATTACAATGTTGGCAGAATATGAATGGATATACTAGAAGTTGTTTTTTTTCCCCATAGCACTGGACACTGAGGCTTCAGCCTTTTCAACTGATTATAGAATGAAAACACTGTTAACAGAGTACATAGTAAGTGTATGTCGAAAGCAGACAAAAGTGAACAAAAGCAAACACATGTATGTGTATTTATGTGAATGTATTTACTTGTCTGTGAAACTGAATTGTGAGAGTCAAAAAGGCCAGGTTGTGAGTTTCATCCTTCGCTTGTATTGCTGTTAGAAAAGACTGTCTGGAAGACACACACACACACACACACACACACACACACACACACACGATGGGGAAAAAATGCATTGGCAAGTCAGGAGAAGTTGAAAGGGATACTTGGAGAGATAAGTGCAGAGGAAGAAACACTTAGGAAAGGCACCCCAATAGTTAATTTCCTTTAGCAGTACATACTGCCTTCCTGAAAATGCAGCGCACAGCTGGTGGAGCCTCAGTTCATGACCTACGTTGTCTGCAGGCTCTGTGAACATGGACTACCCAAACATACAATGGCAACCTGCAATCAGCGGTACAGCTGCATTGTGAAAGCCTCAATTCTGCATGCAGCCCAATAAATGTACAGTAAAGGCTGTTCTAATAGCAAGCAATGAGACCCACAGACAAAAACATTTACTGTTAAGAAATTACTTTGCATTCATTTTTAATCTACTCTATGTATGAAAAGCTGAGAAAAACAGGATTTTTTTTTTACTGAACTTTTCATCTTCTCAAGCTTATGTCAAATACTGAATATTGGCCTATATACTGTTATCAGATCTTTCAAACATCAATATCAGCCTCAAAACTCCTAAATCGGAGCTACTAACTTTACTATATGTAAAAGGGACTTCAAATAAACATTTAGAAAATGAATGATTATTTAAACAGTCCCTCTTTTAATCTCTGCCATCTTACAAGCACAATAATTCCCTTTAAGGTGTACTGAAAAGATTCAGTAGAGAAATGGCCACTCTGCTTGTCATACATTAATGCTTGCCAATTACATAAAACATCATGCAATTAGTCCATTTGATGAATTTGATGTGCGGTGCATAGGCCTGCACGATATGAGGAAACTCTGCCGTGTCCAATATCTCTGTTCAATGTGCATATCATGTTGTTTCAGCAACACTAAAGTTTACCACAGCAAAGTCATCAATGATACCTCACTGAAAAGAAATCTAAAGTGTCAGTAAAATAAATCATATTCCTGTGTTTCCTGAACTAAACAGCTAGACTACTACAGCCAGCTTTCATTTTAGCTTGTTTGTAAAGATTCGCCATTAGCCGAGCTAGCACACTGTGCTTGTGTAAAACACAGTGGCGGTGGATGAGAGACTGCGGACAGAGCAGATTAAAATATCGCTTTCTACATGTTTACGCTTGTTGAACAGGGGAATTGATAAAGTACTGTCTTTTTACTTGCAAACGTTTTATTGCGCTTTTATTGCTTTATACTTCTGCGTTGGTGTCTGTAATTACACCGCCAGTTTGCAGTAGTGTCCACTGTGTTGACTTCTGCCGGCCGAGCCAGCTAACTTCCGGTTTAGCCATAAGTTAACATGAATAAATGGTAAAATAATTTTCGAGCGACCCTTCGAGACTTTTCAAATGTTATGGACCGAATGGATCACATAGTGAAATGAGCCATTTTGCATGGGTTTGTGACGCTCAAAAAAAACTGATCCACCGTGTTACAGCTGTTGGACTGGCCGCTAGTAAAATTGACTTCAAAAGCACAGAGTACTTCCTATGGGCTTGGAGGAAATGCAGTGCTGCCATGTCGACCAATCACAGTTCTTGCAGTCCAGATTGCCGTGACATGTAGTTCCCATTAAGCTACAGCATAGGGTACGGCGCTCCACCCACGACACAGAGCAGGCAGAGGCTGCAGCCTGATAATAAATACCAGTCTTTAGCCCCGGGGCTGTTTAATGCCGGGTTTCATTACCCATCCCTAAATAAAATAATTTTTCTTATTCATTGCGTTTTAGGCAGTCTATTGCTATTTCTTTATTGTGGTGATTAGCTATGTGTACCCACTAGTGGTGGGTCAAGGGGCCACTAAGGGAAGTGGGGCTATAGCTAACAGGCAGTCCACTCTTGAGGCTGCCGCTCTGGTACACACTGTTCTCATGCAAGACCACCTCCTCCGGACACACACACACACACACACACTGCCCGGAAGTGGGCAGGTCAGGAGCTGAGAGATGAGATCCTGCAGACAGCACAGGGTGACTGGGGCACATACTGATAAACGTGTACCCACAACACAAACAAGAAACACATGCACAGGCAACTACATGGTTGGCCACTTCAAACACATTCCACAGCATGCACAGCATTGTTGGAAAATGCCACTGTGCACTTCAGTGAAGAGTGCCGAGCATACAAATGGGCTACAAACTCACACACATCTCTACACGCCCTATTATTATTATTATTTTTAAATCAACTACATCAACATAGTTGGAGAAACAACTATTCAAATGTTCTTTCTGAATAAAAAGGACTCTGCTTTGGACATTTAATTCAGATTGTCAGAGTGGGAGCTGTTTTTGCCTTTGTAGTCTTCTGCAATCAGAGCATACAGATTGTGGAAAGCATACATAACACATGCATATACACACGCATACGCTCACTACCCCTTTCAAACAGATCTGTGCTTACAAGTCTGAGAGGAACAAAAAGGGGGCAAGGCTCCCAGTTGCACAACTTGTTTTTCACAAGTTAGACCAGGAGACAACTCAGCGGTTACTTCACAAACTGTTTGGGGATAACTATGACAAACAGCCCAATCAAATTCTACGAACAGCAGCCTGCAAAAAAAAAAGCTTTATCACATTCTCTAGAGTGCAGTTAGCAGATCACAGCCGCAGCGTGGTTTACATATCAATACTGCTTCCCCTTTCCCATGACTGAGGTGGAGATGTCAGACAGCGTGTGCATTCAGAATGAAGTATTTTAGTTGCTGACCCGCACATGCACACACTTAGGCATAAACATCTCACGACTCCCAAATATGGTCACTTCCCAGAGAATTGAGCAAATCAGGAAGCAGAAACAGCCAATGACATGTACCCAACTCCCTGAGAGAGAGACAGAGAAAGATAGAAGAAAGAAGAGAAAGGAGGGGTACTAGCAGTCCTGTCTCATAAGACCCCCTTCAGGGGCCTCCGTCCTGTCTGCATACATGACCTGAGTAAAGTAGCCAGAACATTTCCTTTGAACCTGGCAATTGGAGGCCATCCACAACATTACTGCATTAAAAACAAGGAACAGCAAAACTATTTCATGAATGGTTTCATTAAGGTAATTTGTTCCCTGATTTTAAACCACTGTTATTGCTCACTTGCTCTATCCACATGCACTAGGTTCGTGTACTTAAACATATTGTGAACTTGTGCAACACGTCATCTAAAATGCTGATCACAAACCTCAAAAGTGCAAATGTGGGCCAAAGGTAAAACCACAGATAAACAAGTAACATGCGCATTAATTCATTTCAGTGCACTTGCGTTCCAGCCATTCTTCGTCTACAATGAATGTTTTCGATCAAGACATTTATACATTCATTGAAACTGAATGCTACACCAGTAAGTTATGACATGGTCAAACTACTTTAAGCAACAAATTATAAAAGGTAAAGATTTACCTGGAAAATACAATTAGGTTAATTTTACTGCTGGAAAATTAATTTATGAGTCAAGTCAGTGGATTTCTAGAACTTGGTTCAACCTGATATTGTACTTAAAAGTTGAATAATAATTTATCCCATAAAAGCTCTTTCAGAAGATATAGACTAAGATTGTGCATGAAAATGTGTCTGCTAATGAAAATGTATAGTGCCGACCATGAAGTGGCTTTGCCTCCACTACATGACAACAATGTACAGTGCCAACAACAAAATTCATCGTTGAAACGTATCACTCCACTCATATCATTATAAAGGCGAGGTCATTAGGCAATTCACAGCAGGATTATCTCTATTTGTCTCTCTCTCCCCCAACCATCAGGACGCTGTTGAGTACACTCTGTTTTATTATTATTATTACTACTACTATTACTACTACTACTACTACTACTACTACTACTACAACAACCAAAAACCCCTAATTCATTGACAACAGCACCACGCCGAATAGCCATCTCCGGCGAGGAAGACGCCCACACTTCGGTCCAATCTGGGGCTAAAGATCAAGGCAGGCTAATCCGCCACCTATAAAGAGACGTTTCAGCGTCGGCGGCTAATTTGTTTACGTTCAGGCTGCAGCAGCGCCGTGCGTGCGCGTGTTGTATTTACTGTGTGTCTGTCACCATGAGAGGCCTAGCTGCGCTCACAGGGCCAATCCAGCTACTCCCAGTTTAGACTCGCTGCAGCAGACCACACTCGTCCAGTTACAGCGACTAATCTGGCCCTGGGGCTGGCGCATCCAACGCAGGCCGCTAAAATATGTACGTTTAAGAGAGACAGCACGAGGTTTGCGGGGATATTGCCCAATAACTTTACGGAGGAAGATCGATTATTAGCGCGGCCACGCATACGCAACAACTGAATTTACTAGCCCCTTAATTAGAACTGGTGTGAAACTTTACGCATGCGTCAGAATGAAGGCGAGTCCCGTGACTAAAATTACCATCTTAATTGATCAAATAAAAGCAAAAAGATAATCGTATTTTCCATTACCCTCATAATATTAAAACAGAGACTTGGTATGTTTGTGTCTTTATCATGTAGTTAATCCCCCTATACTAAAAAATTACACTTGCAATGTCTACTGTATTATTCAAAGTAAACAAATGTTCTTTCTTCTGCATGTGCAAACTTCAAAATATGTTTATATTAAATGCTGGTAGTAATAAATGTGCCATGTCAAACATACAGCAACATTGCTTGGATTTTTTTTTTTTTAATAAAAAATACTTACTTTCTCCGTTTATTAGTCCACACTGGCATATAATGCAGGTGCTGATGATAAAAAACACAATTTGTGCTCGCAGATTTAGCGTCCACCGTCTCATTTTGACTTGAGGGCAAGTTGTGCTCTCCTCCTGATTCTTCTCAAAAACAAATAAAAAAAACCTCCAATCTTTAGGGAGATTTTTATTTTGGAATATCAAAAGTATCAAATTCTTAAAAAAGTAAGGTCCAATTTAGCCAACTGATTTGAGACTGCCCCCCGCTTACGGGGGGGAGGTGGGGGTAATAAATTTAGGATCTTCCCAGCCAAGTTTGTGATGTATGCGAGCCCTGGAAAAAATGCAGACCACTAAATAACGTGATCTTGGGTTCTGGCAACACATGTGCGAGTAAAAATCTTCATTTTCCATAAGTGAAGGCGACAGTCCACGTTCATCTGTTTAATCGTTGCTGCTCCACTGGACCAACAGAGAAGTAACTGTATTATTATTAATATCCCACACGCAGGAAGGCTAGTTTGGAGGTCCCCGAAGGAGGTCCACTGGCCCCTGGCTCATTTCTCTGTAATGCACGGCTCCAATGAGGGAAGCCCCACTTCAAAAACAAATCGCTAAGAGGTATTTCTACCATGCAGAACGTTTTTAAAAACAAAAAAACAGCCTCCTCTTGTGTTCCTACGGCAGATTTGGGCTGAAGTTATGGATATCGCCACATGCAGATCCAAGAACGGGAGTTGGCCGGGTTTGCACTCCCTCTTTTGAAGTCCACAGGTCTTTATATGACCCCCCCCCACCCCCCACCCCCGCTTGTTTGCTGGTTATCTTCTCACAAGCTCACCCCTTTTTAAGACAGATTGGAGCACATCCCAGGAAACTCCTCCGAGCAGCTACGTGCAGGAAAAACGTTCAGGGACACAGCTTTCCCCTACTACGACCTTCCTCTGAACTCCTTCACCCCCGCTGGCCACCACGCCGCAAACGAATGAACACCCATTAAACGACAAAACGGGAGAAAGAAAACAAAGAAGGAAAAACTTGGGGAGGTACGCGTTACTTCGTTCCCATCCACTGTGAGGTGGAAAGAAAGAGAAAAAAGCCGATAAAAATAAGGGCTCTGTTGCTTTGAAGTGAGAAAAACTCTCCACCACGCCGCCCGTTTCTTTTCCTCAGATTAACGTTAGCTGGTGGGGGGAAAACAGCTAACGTTAGCTAGCTAATCCAAAACAAACGAGGTTTGAGTGTCGGCGATAGAGTTAAAAATAAAAATAAAAACAATAACCCACACAGAGTCAGTACCCCGTCTCCGATAGTCAAAAAACGATGAGGTAAACAAATATTTAAAAAAAGAGTTTAAAAGACGGGTCAAGTGTAAAAACTTGGATTCCCGTTCCGTTTAGCGGTTGCTCTCCCTCACGTTCCCCCTCTTTCCGTCTCTCTTTTCTGTGAGCCTCTCCACCAGTAAACAAGTCCTGCCAGTCACCTCAGCTGGGCCGCACATGGTCTGTGGGAAAACCCGGAGCGGACTTTGGCGCACTCAACCGCGCCAAGGGGATCCAGGATCCGGACTGTCTGACACCAGGAACACCGGCGCTCTTTGTCGGGGCCAAGGTGAATATAAAACACCTTTTTTTTAATTAAACACGGGGACATTGGAGAATAGTATTGGATAGATGTGTGGATGAAAATAAATGAGTCGAGATGAAGATCCCCTTTTCTGATATCGATAGTGTGTTCAAGTGGAAAATCACCTGCCAAATGGTCTAGTTAATATTCACCACAGCAGGACGTTTCAACTGGAAATGTCATAGTCCAGTTTGAACTCGTGGATAGATTCTGTGGACAAAGTAATAAAAACACAGTAGCCCCGCAGTAGTTTTACACATTTTCATTATTATTTAATCTATTTTCTGAATTAATCGTTTTGTCTGTAAAATGTCAGAAAATAGTGAAAATGAACTGAACCCAAAGTTATTCAGTTCTCTGCATGACAAAGAAAGACAGAATGTCCTGATATGTGAGAAACTGGAATTCAAGAAAAAATTAACTGAAACTGGATCGTTTATACAAATAGTTGCAGGTAATTTTCTAATCAATTGACTGACCAGTGTGATGATATTTTTAAGATTAGAGTCTGTCAAAAACAAAATCAGTTCATGTTTCTTATCATTTCAGACTAACAGTGATTTAAGTGGCTACACTTACCGTGTGTAAGTACTGTGTATTTATGTGTGGATTCACTGAAAAGATTTGTACCACGTATGTCATTAGTATTCCTGCCCTTATCTACCCTAGCTTTTATATGAAGAGGTGGCGCAGCCTCAGCTGAAATATGAAGGGTTTTCTTTCTAAAATGCGATAACCACCTTTTAAATAAAGAAAATCTGTCTCCCATTTGGACTGCCAGTGTAGAGGGCAAGAATCATTGGTTAGTCATCTTGCTTAATCCAACTGACACCAATAACTATGCATCAGGTGTAGTGTCAGAGTTTTATAACATAACTATGTAAAATAAGCATTTTGCCCTTAATGTTTAATAAAGAATTCATCTGTTCAGAGCAGGAAACTTAAAAAATCAACACAGGGCTCTCCAGTAACCATCTCTTATCAGCCAATATATGTGTGTGTCAATATGTGATAAGCTAATATAATTTAGTGCATTTCAGGTAGCAGCTTTTCTTCAAAAAAGATACAGAGAATTTTTGGAATCAAACCCCATAAATGTGAAAAGACTGCATTCACTAAATCCTTTTTCCACCAACAATGTCCCTGCTTGCATTCATGCTGAACCAAACAGCATGTAAGAGTTGATCATTTGAGATGGGGCTGGCACTTATACGACATTATACAATATCACACAACTATTTTTTAATGATTTTACATTTTCACCAGATTTTCCTTTGTACATTGTCATAGAGCAGCGAGATTTGTGGGCAAAACAAAGTTGCCTTGTATCATAGAGCAGTGGAAACATCTCACACTGCCTTGGCCCTGCATCAGGAAGCATGTACAATACACGCCTACAGTAAGGAAAGCACACACAGCTCCCTCAGATTTGCATAACAAATATCCTTATAATAAAACCTGTCCTATTGGTGGAACTCAACTGCAAACAATACCTGGAAGTTTGTCCTACCAAAACTTACAGGATGTCTGAGTATTGCCACAGTTCTCACCTTAACATATTGACCAATTGACTTAGAATCAAAGAGACTACATTAGAATAGAGCAGAACATTTGCTTCCTGTTTATCACACAAGAGTGCAGTTTGTGTGCATGGATGGGTACACACTGGTCTACTCTGCTAAGAGCTTGTGGAGCAGGCTTGCTGTTAATCTGAGGAATGTTGTTACCCAGTGAACAGAGTAAATGAGGTCTTAGTGAGATTAAATGTCACAGGTCTGAAGGACTAAGGGTTGTGGAATCTAGTCAAAACAGATCTCTTTGTTGCAGTCACGCTGTCTGACGCCAACACATGCAGTCTTCTCCCACTTCCCCTCAGGTACTGTGCATGACACCAATTTCTTTCCTTTTTCAGTGGGAGTAGAGGAAGTTAAGTGAATGGCTTTTTATCCCACTAACCTACCTAGAGTGCTGTTCTGAGTCCAACACATGCTGCACTTGTGCAGCACTACAGCAGTGCTCCTGCTCTGTTGTACTACGACTTCATGTCAGTAGGTGGCACTAAAAATAACTCCAGTGAATTCACTTACTCCAAATGTCAAAAAGGGACATGGGGATACAGCGCTGTGAATAAATAGGATTAAATCTGACCAAAGAGGCGAGCGTGGGGAGCTTTGAGCTATGTCAAATAAACATAATGTGATTCGGTCAGCATGTACACAGCATTGAGAGGTTGTAGGAATCGTTTGGTAAAGGTTGCTTTGAATAATGACTGCGAATGAAGAATTTAAAATCAAATGTCGGGTTTTAAACATTGCCAAACATCTTATTTCCTCTACAGAGTTCTCCTCTGTCGCTCCCTACTGAGAACATGGATATAGTAAAGCTGTAGTGCCTGGCATGAACATGTTTCTCTTTTTATCACAAGCTCTGGTGCCCAATTGGGATGTTTCCACCTGGTATTTGGTAGTTCATTCAGACTGGAGGAAATGCAGATATGCAAATGACACAATGATGGTTGTAGTTTGACAGCTGCACTCATTCCATTCCTCACCCCCACAAATGTCCCAGTTTGTGGGGTTTTTAAAATATCCACGTAAACTTTTCCGCAGTGGCACAACAAACTTTATCAGAGGAGCTGATAAAGGTCTCTTCCATTCCTTCAGCTAGGTGTTGAAAGTATAAACAAGAATCAAGTGCAAGATGGCAAACAAGTCAAATGATTGTAGCTATCTGAAACTATAATAGAAACTTCCACACGCCTCTGACTCTGCCGTTCACTTTATTCAGGAAAGCCATTAGAAATTAAAGACATGAAAAACTTGAATAAATTAGTTGAAAAACATAATGAATGCAGATGCATCCATACAGAACTCAGGGAATCTGCAGATACTACCAATCCCACATTTTTATTTTTACGAATTACCCAAATCTGCGTAGCTCACTGCGTGGAACTCTCTCGGATCGCTTTCAGGTAAAGTAACATGATGTCAGAGATTGCCGTGGCACTAAAAACTGAGTCCGCTGTGGCTGAATGAATGTGACTGATGGTGGAAACACTTCATTTTAAAATGGCATTGACAAAGAAGCTGGATTAGTCACATCATGACTAATAAATATCACCCGATCCACTTAATAAGGTCGGTATCTGCACAAATACCCATCTGGCATACCAGATTGATGCACGTGGTTTGGTGAGTATAAAAACGCTGTGGCCTTCAAAATCATCAAATCTTAACCCAGGCGAACACCTACATGAGATCGTGGAGCGACGTGTTAGATTGCTCTCTCTGCCATCCTCATCAAAACACCAACTTAAGGAATAAGCTATCTTTTGAATGATGTTCATCCCTCTAGTACTATAGACTCTCACTCCATGTCTTTAATTTCAGCCCTGTGTAGGTAAGCCTCAATGCTCAGTCAAGGCTTTATCAGGTCCAAATTATATCTTGATCTGGCATCACCCTGATCAACCACGCAGCATGTGACATATAACAGCTCTGTGGAGAGAAGCAGCATTCAATAACATGAATTACAAATGCATACACCCCCCCATGCCTCACAAGGCGTGGTGGTGGTGGTGGGGTATATGCAGAAGGCAAAACAAACTCCCGCTCATTCTCTCCCAACTCGCCTCTACTGCAGTCTGTAAATGGAGGGATTAATATGTTTGAATGGAGAGGGTCTCTTTCCTTTGTTGGTGCGGAAGGCTCAGTAATTATCTGCCTGGGGAGCCAGGAAGCAAGAACCTCCATTTGGTCGCTGTGTCTGTGTATGCATGAGGGAATCTGTTTGCGAATGTGTGTGTGAGATGTCCACCAAGGAGAGGGTCATGAGCTTAAACAGACAAAGCGTTCCTGGATTATCCTCTTCAAACGGCTCCCTGTGTTAGTGATTTACACTTTTAGCACTTGCAGTTCCTGTTCTTCAGGCCCCCTTGCTTGCAGCTGAGATAGACAAACAAACAACTGCCCATTTCTCTCAAGTCCCTTGTTCGCTTGTGTCTCTCAATTACAACAATGCAGTCACAAATACTGTATGTTGTCTTTTAAGCGATAGAGAGAGTTCACACCTATTCCTCTCATGTGGAGGAAACTGCACATCACTCGTCTTTATATGCCAAAGCTGCAGCGCACGTGACATCAAAAAAGGGATGTTACAGAAACATACACAACAGGATACATGGTTGATGCAATGCAATCACATTATCTATGACAAAAGGAAGTTATGTATTTTGGTACATCTGCAGAAAGTATCTGCATACAATTTTCTTCAGTATCTTTCATAAGTTAATGAGTTTCACATGTATCCTACATGCAAAACACTACTCTCTTATTGCACTTATACTGTAGCGGGTTTGTGATGTGGAACAGCTCTTCTTCCTGTACAGGAGCAGTGGGTGCGGGGCCATATGACATACGTTGGTATTTTGTGGCTTTTTGCAAAATTTATTTAGAATTCATCATCATAATATCTGAAATATCACAATAACGTGTTGGTGGATTGCCATGACATTTTGTACAAACACAAGTGTTCCCCTTAGGATTAATCCTAATGACAGTGGTGAGCCCCTGAATTTTTCTCTAGCTCCACCAGCAACATTTTTTGGTTTGTTGTGAAATCACTCAACTCTTGGACTATTTGATGAATTGCCTTTAAATTTAGTTGAATATATGATCTAAAAATAATAATAACATATGATCCAATGACATAAATCAGTTAAATAATGTTATGTTAGCCCAGCCCAGAAATCTTTCATGTTTTCACCTATTTTCACCTCCACCCCCCACATATATACTTGTAACGACTCACAAAATACCAGCAACTCTAT